TTGAACGCTGGCCAATAATTTCTTCGGAAGATTTTATATCATACAATGTTGACTTTCCTATGTTGAACTCAGCCATTAGTTACAATTAACCTTTTACCAGCGTCGAGTCTGTTTAAAATTTCTACTTTTGCGATAACTCCAAAGTTGTTCTTTTCCTCTTATTCCCATCATCTTTTGCATCTATACAAGCAAATTAGGGTGAAATAAGCAAAAAAAAAAAAAAAAAGAAATTTCAAATCAGTTACATCTCACCCAAATAGTTCAAATATGCACATCAAAATCATGTCCGGATATGCGGGATTCAGGATATGACGGATTCCGGTTATCAGTAATTCTGCTGTATATATTAACGTTATTTCAACTGTAAACGATGATATTTTTAACTTTCCTATTTATCTTTCGACATTAAAAAGGAATTACTTTATACATTCATAAAGTATTTCGTCGCAAACATGGGCGTAATTTATTTATTTGTTTGTGCACATCTTTCGCAGATCTGCATCTGTCAGCCCACATTTGGCGGTCTTCTTTGCTTTAACGTTCAATTGTTGACATCTGATAAAAAACACTAAATCTATTCATTAAAAATAAGACAAAATATGGCCGTCGACTTCGGTTATTCAAGAATTTGACTTAGATAAATACTTCGCTGTACGCTAGAGAGAGAGAATGAGAGAGATACAGAGAAAGAGTAGTGAACATTTAAAGAAAGAGTGATGAGTGAATAGACTGAAATGGGAGATGGAAAATAAGCGGGGGGACATGGGAAATAGACACGATGAATAGAGAGAGTAGCAATGAAACAAATAAATTAAAAGAAAGAAAGAAAGAATTAATGAATGAATGAATGAAATAACAATAAAGACCCGTCAATAGAAAAAATAAAAGAAATAAAAGAATTAATATTAAAAATAAAAATAAGAAGGAAGAAATAAAGAAATAGATAGAGAGATAGAATAAAAGAAAGAAAGAAGGAAGGAAAAAAGGAACCGTGAATAGAAAAGAACAACAGAAACGAAAGAAAGGATATTGTAAACGAAAAAAAAAAGATATGAGGGAAGATATAAAAAAATAGACAGACAGAATAAAAGAAAGAAAGGAAAAAAAAAGAAAGAAAGAAGGAAAGAAAGAAAGAAAAAAAAGAAAGAACGATACAAACGCATCAATTAAAAAGAACAATAGAAATGAAAGAAAAAGTATTGTAAAAGAAAGAAAGAAAGAAAGAAGGAAAGAAAGAAAGAAAGAAAGAAAGAAAGAAAGAAAGAAAGAAAGAAAGAAAGAAGGAACAATGAAGACTCATCAATAGAAAAAACAATAGATATGAAAGAAAGAATACTGAAAAGAAAGAAAAATAGGAAGGAAGACTTAAAGACAAAGAAAGAAAGAAAGAAAGAAAGAAAGAAAGAAAGAACAATAAAAACAAATCAATTGAAAAGAACAATTGAAATGAAAGAAGGAATATTGTAAAAGAAAGAAACCAATGCAAAGAGAGGAAAAGAAAAAAAGGAAAATAACCATTAGAAAGAAAGAAAGAAAGAAAGAAAGAAAGAAAGAAAGAAAGAAGATAATCTATAAATAGAAACAATTGACAGAAAATAAAATCATAGGCTTTTCGTTAAAGCCTTGGACCCCCTTCTCACAATAGAGACATATGAATAATGAGAAACTCACGGTTAATCGTAGAAAGGTACCCAACTCCGCAATAGAAATCTGTACACCCAATTGGTTTGAATTCTCAGTTTTCAGAAATAGTATTTATTTTATTGTGGTTATTTAGTAAGCGTAGCTGAGATGTGGTACAATGTCGCAAGTATGGAACATCAAGTGAGGATCGAACTCACCTGTGATTGATTTAATGAGACAAGCTTTCTAATCCTTAAAAGATGTCGAATATATTTTATTATGAGGTTGCAAAATCCTGGTAAAATAATGTGTAGTGAAAGGCTATCAAAGAATGAAAAAGATTTATAGGAAGAAAAAAAAATTGAAAAAGTGGAAAAGTTTTCGTGTGACGCGTTTCGTCCTTTAGGACTTCATCCGACTAAAGTGATAGTTACGTTGATGCGACTGCACATGCGCAAGAAAAAATTGAGAGGACTGGAATTTTTTTTTTTTTTAAATATGTATATGTTTTGGGTATAGAGTCTAGCCTATTTAGTTTAGTTTCTTTTTTTTTTTTTTGTTTTTGGTTGCGTCTCCATCCTTGAATTTTGCCACATTTGGTGATGATAGAAAATCTACCAAGAAAGATGAAATATTTAAGAACCCGTACACAAAATTTTCTGTGGATTATCAAGCGATTAAAGCAATTTCTAAATATGTTCGTCTTAGTATATTGATTTCCCTATTAATTACAGGGTGTGTCCCTAAAATTTGCATATTTTCAAGAAATT